CAAACAACCCAATTAGTAAATGGGCTAAGGAGCTGAACAGACACTTCTAAAAAAGATATACATTCTATCAACAAATATATGAAAAAATGTTCAACATCTCTAGTAACTAGAGAAATGCAAAATAAGACTACTCTAAGATTTCATTTCACGCCAGTCAGAATGGCAGTTATCAAGAATACAGACAATATAACTGTTGGCGGGGATGTGGGGGAAAAGGCACACTCATACATTGCTGGTGGGACTGCAAATTGGCACAACCAATCTGGAAATCAGTATGGAGATTCCCTAGAAAACTTGGAATGGAACCACCGTTCAACCCAGCTATCCCACTCCTTGGTCTATACACAAAGGACTTAAAATCAGCATACTATAGTAGTGTAGCCACTTCAATGTTCATAGCAGTTCAATTCACAATAGCTAAACTGTGGAAGCAACCTAGATGCCCTTTAATTGATGAATGGATAAAGAAACTGTGGTATGTATACACAATGGAATATTACTCAGCATTAAAAAAGAATAAAACTATAGCATTTGCAGGTAAATGGATTGATATCATACTAAGTGAAATAAGCCAATCATAGAAAACCAAAGGCTGACAAGGGGATGCTAATACATAACAGGGGGGAGGGCATAGGAAAAATGAAGGAACTTTGGGCAAAGGGGAGGGAGGGGGAGGGAGGCTGCATGTGGGCAAAAAAGATGGTGGAATGAGATGGACATCATTACCCTAGGTACATGTATGATTGCAAATATGGTGAGATGCTATATCATGTACGACCAGAGAAATGAAAAGTTGTGCTGCAATTATGTACAATAAATCAAAATGCACTCTGCTGTCATGTATACCTAATTAAAATAAATAAACTAATTAATAGAAATAGAAATAGAGAACTTCTAAGGTTCTTCAGGCCAGATATGATGGTACATACCTGGAATCCTAGCAACTCAAGATGCTGAGGCAGGAAAATTGCAAGTTAGAGGCCAATCTGAACAATTTCATGAGATCCTGTATCAATATTCAAAAAATAAAGGGCTTGGGATTCAGCTCAGTGGCAGAACACTTTCTTGGCATTTTTGAGGGCATTAGTTCAACTTGAGTACCACAAAAAGAAAATAAAATCATTCAGCTTTAATAGTCTGAGAATAGCTTACTTCTAAAAATAACTAATACATTTCAATAAGAGACTCATGGAGCCAAACTCCCATGTGTGATATGTGTTAAATGAAGCATTATACACTGTTTTGATGTCATCAAAGGACACACTTTCAGGAATTGGTGGGCTTTTTGCTTTCCTCCAATTAAACCACAAAGGTTTTCACTAAATCCATCCATGTCTGGGGGTACTTCTGCTCCTGTTTCACTTAAATGCTTATTTGGGGGTATCAAATGGTGGGAACCTTTTTCCTGCCTATTCCAAAGTCTGAAAGCATCAAGAGTACCAGAAAAGGTGACTCTGGATACTTTTGCCCCTGGAAAGACTGTCCTTTGTTACTTATCAGGTATCTTATTAGTATCTCCTTTCTTTCCTTCTCCTTCTCAAAACAAAATTAAACAGCCCTGCTGTCAGGAAGGAATCTGATGAGTTCATTCACCACTCAGCATAATGCTTACCAAGAAAAGACTAGGTGGCGATTACTAGGTGGATTCATCTCCACTGTCTCCTAGCTGTATTGGGGAATCAACTGTTCTGTCAAGAGGAGTTATGGCTGAGGCACACTGTGCTGGAAAATGGACAGAAAACATTAAAAATATTAGGTGATTGTTCTTTCTGCTTCATGGTGCTATGTCCTGAGTCACTTTCCTCCACCACTCTTCTGCCATGATGTTCTGCCTCAACTCAGGCCCAGAGCGATGCAGCTGGCCATCTATGGACTGAGACTTCTGAAATCATACTTTTCTTGGCCCAAAACAACTTGAAACCTGTATATGTGAATATTATCATGTTGTGCATGTTCATAACCCCTAAAATAAACAATAGACTCAAGAGAGATGGCAAATGCATCCATCCAGCATATCATTTTTAAAAATTCCCTTTATTATAATAATGTAATGTGCACAAATATATCTTCTATTATCTATCTATATATCTATCTACCATCAGCTCTCCATATCTCCCACTTTTGATAGTCCAAAAGAGCAATTCAATGAGATTTTTGTTGCTTTAAAATAATATTGTGATTTCCTCAGGAGAAACACTTCTTTGTTTCCAGAGATCAAGGGTACCTCCTTTCTTCAACCTAGTACTTTCTTTGTAACTCAATCCCTGCATTAGCTGATGAACACAAGAAGAGGAGAGCTATCATGGTCTGTCAGATGAATGCTGGCATACTGGCTTTATCTCATCATTTCAGGGATCCCCTCTTTTTCCCATTCTCTCCTTTCTGTTTGACTATGAAAACATATGAATCAATCAAAGAAATTTATCAAATTTTATAGCATTCTCTTTCCTTTCCTGTTCATATACATGGCAAATATGGAATACGTAGATGCCTTGCAATTTGGGGCAACATTTTTATATTTATATTTATTTTCTCACTTCTTTCATATTAAAGCAGAGTTAGGAAATATCCCATATGGAAAAGCCGTGACATAAATGGTCTTGACCATCTACATTCTAATCCAGACATAAATAAAATTTACCTCCTGTTTCCTTTGTGTGTTCTTTTTATTTGTAATAATATCCATTCCTTGTTTGTATAGGAATTTCCAAGATTTGACTCTTATGACTGAAAAGGGTGAAACAGTCTTAGTCTTAAGGCATTGTCATAGTTATCTAAAAATATAGCAGTATTTAGGCATTCTTGCATCTTCTATCCTGATACCATCACAAATCCCCCTTCCTATATTCATTCCAAATAATGGACTACATGAGTGAATGATACATCTGTCTGCACTAAAAGTTCATGAACAAAGAAAGAGGATTGTGCTACATGATCATTTGTCCATCTCTTTAGAAACAATCAGAACTAACTGCCTCCACTTTTTAATAATTAATGTATGTAAGTAACATTTATTTCTTTAGAGCTCTGTGAGTTCTGAAAAAGATTGTAATAATATGCAACACTGCAAAAAAAGATGAAGAACAACCCTCCCAAATTCCTCTCTGCTTCTATCTGGTCTAATCATCCTCCACCTCTAGTCCCTGGCAATGATAGATTTGATTTCTGAACCTATGATTTTGTATTTGCATAAAAGTCATATAAATTGGAATCATAATTAAAATTCAGCCTTTTGTGTTTGCTTTCTTTCACACATTTCACACTTAGTGTTACACATATTGCTTTGTCTTTCTCTATTGCTGATTAATATTCCATTGTATAGTATAATACAGATGGTTCATGTATTCTCAATTTAAAATATATTTGGGAGTAGTTTCCACTTTTTGAACTTAAAAACATAGCTTATATCAATTTCCATTGGCAGGATTTTGTGTGAACATAGACTTAGTTTTCTCAAAGTAGACAGAGAAGCATGAAATTGAAGCTTATTGCATGAAACATGTAACATGCTGTTCTGAATCTATGTCATAAATTATTAGTTTCATTTGAAAATTTCTGCCATTCTATTAAGTATTAGAATATCTGATTGTGGTTTTATGTCTAATGATGTTGAAGACATTGTCAGGTGTGGGTTTCTGTATAACTTATTTGGTAAACTGTCTTGAGATTTTATATCAGTTTTCTTTTTACTGTGAATTCCCTTGTTTATGATCATTGATAAGTCTTTTGGAAGACCTGTGATTTGCAAATACTTTCCCCCAATTTTAAGATTTGTTTTTGATACTATTAATAGTATGTTATACAAAACAGAAGCTTTTATTTCAATAAAGTTCAATTTATAACTTGAAAAATAGATTTTAGATGATTTTTAGGCTTGCTTCTGGAAATCCCTGACATAGAAGGTCAAGGAATTAAATACTGGAGTTGGATTTATACTAGAGCTGACTGTTTTTATGGCCAATACAACATTTATTGGTATGTTAAGATAAAGTTAATCAAGTCTTGGGCTTCATGGTGGGGAAGCAAATATTACTTCTTGAGAATTAGAGAAGGATTCTTCTCAGAACACTGTAGCACACACATATGCACAATCATTTAGTTTTCTTTACATTTCTGGAGTTTATTGAAAGTTCAAGTACTAGTCATTGAACATCTGGGTTCTTAGGAAAACCTGAACACCATTCTGAAGCTGTCACATTTTGGGGGATGCACTAGGCAAGCATTTTTTTTGTTTTTAAACAATTTCCCACACAGCAGAAGTATAATTTTCATTCTTTACCTAACTCTGACTAATCAGGGCAATTTCCCAACTTATTTCCCCAGACTTCATTTTCATATTTAAAATTGGGTTATCACATAATTTTGGGGTGAAAAGATGAATTGTTTTAGCTAAGATTTGTAATTTATTATTATTAATGTGTATTTCAGTCTTTTTTGTGGGAGGGTACTGGGGATTGAACTCAGGGGAACTCAATCACTAAGCCACATCCCCAGCCCTATTTTGTATTTTATTTAGAGACAGGGTCTTACTGAGTTGCTTAGTGCCTTGCTTTTGCTGAGCCTGGCTTTGAACTTGTGATTCTCCTGTCTCAGCCTCCCAAGCCACTAGGATTACAGTTGTGTAACATCACATCCAGCTGATGTGTATCTTTCAGCCTGTTCTCAGTTTAATTAATGACCATAAAGAGGGTGGCATTGGTGCCTGGCTCTGCGGACAATTTGTAATACCCCTAGGTCACTGTTTCAGAAAGCATAATAGGTTTATGGTTTAGAATATTTCACAAAGATTACAAAGAAAGGATCATCACATGATTACTGATTATTTTAAGGCCATCATTCAGCATTTGGTGTAGCAGATTTAGAGACAGTGGTGAAAGCTGAAAAGGTGCAGGATAACCACTAAGCAGCAGCTTAATGTCATGGAAAAAAACAACTAAAGTTCAAATCCTGGCTCTGCCCCTTTGTTTCTATGTGAACTTGGCCAGTCATTCAACCTTTCTTAATCTCAGTACCTTCCTTTATAAAGTGGGGATATTAAAGCTACCTTGAAACAGTGTGGAGAAGATTAGACTTAATCAGTGGTTCTCAATTAGAGCAATTTTGTCCCCCAGGGGAAATCTGACAATGTCTGCAAATAATTATATCACTACCTGGGGAGACGGAGTTACTGGCAGAAGCCAAGGATGATACTAAAATGGATTTAGTAATGGTACAATGCATAGAACAGTCTCCTAACCCTACCCCAAGAAAGAATTGTCAGGTATAAAATGTCCTTAGTGCTGAGATTGAAGAACCCTGAATTTAATTCATTCAAAGTGACTAGAATAATGCATGGCAGAAATAAAGAAAGGTCACTGTAATCCCCAAATTCATCTATTATGTCCCTAGTCCCTCAAAATATAACTGTATTAGGAGATAAGAATTGACTAAGTTAAAATGAGACCTTTATATGATTGGATTCCTAAGAAGAGCCTAGACAAAGGCACTTTGGCACTTGAGTATAAAGGAAAGACTATGTGAGAATATAGCTAAAAGCTAGTCACCTAGAAGCCAAAAGACAAACCTCAAAAGAAACCAAACCTGTCAACACCATGATCTTGAAATTCTAGCTTCCAAAACTGTGAGAAAAATTATTTGGTTTAAGCTACCCAATCTATATTTTCTCATGGCAACTCTAACAAACTATTATAGTAGTGGCTATTATTATTATCATTATTATAAAGGAACTGTTTGATTTTGAAAAACATTATCAGAAAACTCGGAGCAAATATACCAAATCTTTATTGGTATTCTAAAAGCCTAAAGCCCTGTTAGAAAAAGAGTAATTTGAGATAGTAAAAGCAAATTGAAAAACAACAATGCTCAGCCCATGGATATGGCAAAGTTCAGTGTTCATAGAAATAAGAAATGGTAAGAATGTACTCAAACAGAATTTGCATGGATAATGCTCTTGATTACTTATTATATTACTTAGGTTCCAACTTCCCCACCTTCTGACACTGTGAACTTTCTAGGTGTCTGCTCAAGTTACAGATTCCTAAATGAGATCTATATCAGGCACAAAGACAGCAAATGAATATTCTTATTAGAAGTTGATTTTCTGATTCCAAGTATCATGCAGAACTTCAATCATGAGGTGCCTGGCTAGCAAGAGGATTCTTTGTGCCATGCTCTTCAATAGCACCCCACCAAACACAGACCTCTTCGAGCTCTTACTTCTAGCTCATACCCTTATCTGAAATCCTAAGGTCTCAATTTTGATGAGAAGCAGCAAGAAAAAAAAAAAAAAAAAAAGATAAAAAGTGTTTTTTTCTGAAGCTTAGAGCTTATCTGACTGATGTTTTTCTAAACATTTGTTCCCAGGCCTTCCCTTGATTTTTTTCCTTCCAAGAGCAAGTTAATCTTGGACAGCAGACATAAGGGGAGACACTGTCAAAACAATTAGTGAATATTAGGTGATGTTTTATATAAGGATTAGGCATTACTGCTGTCACCAATTGCTTGCATTCAATTAGAAGGAAATGATAATTATGTTAATCCACAGTTTAAGAGAAGAACACTGTGTAGGTATCACTTCCATTTTACTAAAGACAATGAATAGAGACCACTAAGGACAATAATAAGGTTAGCCTCATATCAATTTAAGAGAATTTTGAATGGCATTGCCTTTGGAAGGAATTTTTTTTGGTAGGAACATTCATTTTTTTTTTTAATTTTTTATTGTGGGTTGTTCAAAACATTACAAATTTCTTGACATATCATATTCCACACTTTGATTCAAGTGGGTTATGAACTCCCACCTTCACCCCATACACAGATTGAAAATTACACGAGGTACTACTTTGTTACACAGTAGGCTGGTCAAATTTCAGCCGTAAGTACATTCCTCCAGATGTCCTGTGTAGAGAGTCAGAAGGTTGGATTATTTTAATTCAGAGTTGTTCATAAATCTAATACCCTTAGTTTTCTAGTGCAGAATATGAGGGCTAGAACAGTGAGGTGATGCACCAACTACAAACAAGTAGTCAGTTGTGCAAGAAACCTTTAGATGCAAATACTTGAGAACATGGCTCTTTGCATTCTACTACTGCCCTGGAAGGTTAGTCAAGGTACATATAGATATGTATATAGAATTACACATCTCTTCTAGAACATTTATTATTTCTTTGTTTTCTTTGTCCTAATAACACCTGCCTGTCTTTTGGACATACATCTTCCTCTCCTCCCTTACCCCAATTTTTATTATACTCATGAGGACTGGAAAATAGTATTTTTTTTTTTTTTTTTTTTTTGGTGGTGGTGCTGGGGATTAAACCCAGGGCTTCATACAAGCTAAGTATGCACTTTACCACTGAGCTACAACCCCAGCCCCCCCCAAATTTTTTAATACAGAATAAATCCATACTACAGACTACTATCCAGATTTTACTATTTAAAATTAAGATAATGAGGTTTAGATTTTTAAAAAATCAAGAAATTCTCAAATTTTTTTTAAAGAAAAAAATATTTTATTTTTTGGTTTTTTATTACAGAAAAAGAAATTATTACTGGAAAAAAATAATATAGTGTTAAAGTATAATAAGATTTTTAACAGAGGAAGAAAGATGGTAGAATTTGATTCCAGAACTTAACAGAAGGTGAAACTATGAAGATAAAAAATGAAAAATTGTGGTATATATGTGTATTAAGAATTGTAATGCAAAAAAGTACGTGTATAAAGACATAAATTGGTGTGAATATACTTTATATACAGAGATACCAAAATTTGTGCTCTATATGTGTAATAAGAATTGTAATGCATTCCACTGTTGTCCTGTATTTATTAAAAAATAAGATCAATAAAAGAAAAAAAAATATGAAATTGAACAAGAAAAAAATTAACCTAAAGATTTTGTTTCACACAAATTATTGTCCAAGATAGAGCTTGTCTGATTATTATTTACAATCTTGGGCAAGGCAATTAGTCTCTCTAAACTTCAGTGCCTTCAACTCTTAAGTGAGGAAGTGATCATTAACATATTGTGTTATTGTAAAAATTGGTGAAAATGTATATAAATTGCCTAGCATGTAGTGCCATTGATTAGTGAGGTCAATTGCAAATACAGCCCCTCTTTGCACCTTTGCAAGGTCAGTACAAGCTCCTCCATGAAATCATGGAGTCTAATTCCCTACCTGATAAATTGAGCCAATTTTGTTACTTGTTATAGGCTAATAGTCTACCAGTTCTAAGTCAAGCCACTCTTGTGACCACATATAAACATATCTGGACAAACCAACTAGAAGGTGGGAGAAATGCAGCCTAGTCTCACAGTCATTCTGACAATCAGAGAGCTCCTAGAAGCAGACATGCTGAACTGACATGCACGTGACAGCACAGAGGGCCCAGCCAAGACCCAGAACTGTAAGATGAAAACACCCTAAATTTCCATCCCACAGAAATATAAACTAAGTTAATGAATATTGTTTTAATATCCATTTTAAGTTTTGGAATCATTGGTTATGCAACAATAAACTGATATAAGTAATATTTCTATTAATGCTTTAATTATAAAAGAATTTTTTAAGGTTAAACAATCCTAGGTGTCATAATTTGCCTAAGAACACAAATGATATCTTCAGAATTTTCTTTTCCAGAATACATAAGCATCCTTAACCAAAATTTTTAATTTGACTCTGAAAATAATGGCCTTGTCCAAAAGGTCAGGAAATAGCTCTAGTTCATGAACATAGCAAAGAAAAAAATACAAATGATAGCAAAATAGAATGGAAGTTAATGTTGTATCTTGCAAAAATATCTTTCAAAAGACTTTAGGAAGAATTTGAAGGATTAGGGGAAATCACTAGAAAAATTTGGCAACAGACTGTAGCTTTGGGTTATTAATTACGTAGTCAGTCTCTCCCTGGTCTCTAGCCCTTCTTCAGAGTTACTCTTTCCCCTTGCAACATTTTTTCCAAGGGCAGTCTATAGTATATTATACTCTTTGCCCTTCTCCAGAAAACAAATCAGCCTCAGGCCATTTATGGTCCCCAAAATGTTTTGTTTTGTCCTAGGATCAAAAACAAGTCAATTTATCTCATCAAACACTGACCTCTGCATCTACAGATGAGTCCAGACAGAATACAGCTCAGCCCCTGTCTCAGACTTTGGGTACAGGAGGAAGCTGTGCTGTGGTCCCCATGCCAGATGCCTGTCTAATAGGTAAACTGGGTATGGTTTGCAAACAGAGATGGAGACTCTTGAAAGCAGTTTGCTTTGGCTCTTGCTGGGAAGCAAGGGTCTGGGCATCACAGAGAACTAGAAAATCAGGTCACATGTGATGGGAAGTTGAACAGAGGCAACTGTTGCTTTTTATATCTGTGTTTATAGATTTTTTCCCCTGTACAGACAGTTTTCAAGAGCAGCAGGAATGAGAAAGTTTGGCAGAAGAGAAAGTTTCTCTATTTCTTTTCAGCAAATTGCTCTTGGATTCATCTTTGGCTGGATGCTAAACTAAGGACACCTGCCAATTTCACCTTAGGTTTTGATAAAATAATTAAGTTATGAAAGAGAACGTAACATTACATATTGTATAAACTCAAATCCATGTAATTCACATGAGGGATTAAAGGGAACATTCTTCCTCCCATAGGTTGTGAGGATTTCACTACAAATTAAATTACATTTAGTTTGAGGGACCAAATTCTAAAAATAAATCTGAAAATTTAAACATTTAATACACTGATGGATCTTAAATAGCCTAATGTCTTAGAGATTAAGGAACCAGATAGTTAAGGGTCCAGATAGTTAAAGATGACAAAGTACTTTCCCCTTAAAAAGCAGACAGAGATCTGGGGTTAGTCAAAGTTCATTATGCAAATGGGAACATGGTGTCTAAATTTTTTAATTATTTTTTATAAAAATTGGCAAATGCATTCTCTAACTTATAGCAATTATATACATATTTTCTCCCTTCGCCATATTTTCATTTCTACCAACTTCTAAATATATTTTGAGATCTCAACATCTAATTCTAAGTTAACTAACAGTTACTGCAGAAACCAACTCTCTACCTCACAATGTGAATTTTACACACATTTGTGTCTAAGTTAAAATAATTCTTTCCTCACAAAGTTAAGTTTCTTAAATTATTAAAAATATAATACACTTAAGTTTTTTAAGGTCTTAGCATTTCCTTAAAAAACTACAGAAGACTATGTATGGTAATTTTCTTCCAAACTCATAGATGAGCACAAAATGTTT